GATTCCACCCAATGTAAGTCATTAGTTGCTGCACCCTGTGCTCTGCTCATTGTTGTGTTGGGCAGCATATGCAATTTTCATAAAGAAGCTCAGCATCTTTGCACTGGAGAGGTTCTGTGCCACCATCAACTGCTCCATTGTCAGGCTGGAGAAGGAGCGACCGACGTTTATAAGCACCAGCATGTCTGCAAGTCGCACCATGTACCAAGTGCTCCATCACTCTGGCAAGCCAGCCCAGTTCAGTGCTGACTATGGCCCCCACCTTGCCACTCTCTGGACGGCGGTCAACTATCAGCGTGAACGCTTTACGTTCCATGAGGTCCAGATTGCCATGCTTAAGAGCGAACACATGCTGGCCATCACTGCAGCCTGGACGTGGCTGGACGTTGACATCCCCTCCATGTTGTACTGGCTTCTCCAGTATCCTGGTGTGTATTTCTACTTGCTCTTGTGCAATGGTGAACGTGTGCTTACCGTGCATGGTAGAGAAGGCCAAGGAGCAGACAGCATGGCTGAAGAGCCTTCTCAAAGACGTTCAGGCCCAGCTTCTTCTTCCTCAAGAGAGAAGGCAGCCCTTGCAGTTGAGCAAGTATCTTGTACCGCAAGAGAACAAAGAGTACACCATCAAGTACAACAATCACCTGCCCCTGCAGCGGAACGGCTCCTCGATGCATGATCTGCTGGTCAAGTTCGCTAGGGAGGCGCTTCTTCTGTGGCTCAAGTTCCCCTCTGGCCAGGGTCAGCTGCAGGCAGGGTTCATTTGGACACTTCTGCAGCATTTCCACAACCCAGATGTGCTCCTGCTGCCTGGCATGCACAATGTGGTGCATTGCTGAGCTCTTACTGAGATCGTTGTCCAGTTCTGCCTGCCCATGTTAGAGGATCGGACCACTTTATGGAGGCCCTGCAGGCAGCTGCTGACAAGCTCGCTTGGCTGGAGATGTTCAAGTCCAAGGAGCCTGGATGGTGCATGCCTTATATTGAGGCGTACCGGTTTACGCAGCGTGTGCAGCGGGGCCACAAGATTCTGCCCCAGCTCAGTCCTCTCACAGGCATGCTGATCGCTGCTGACTTGGTCTACGCTGGGAAGGTCGCCATGCCCTCTGCAGAGGAGATGGGGGAGATGGTCTATTTGCTGGACAGGGGTGCTAGTGCGTGTCTGCGCTTTTTCCGTCTCTTGGACAGGTTGAGCGACAAGGAGTCGGTGATCTTTGTGTTCACCTCCCTTTACAACAAGGTATACAGCAGCTTCACCGAGGCAGAGCGCTCTACCATGACCTTTGACCCCATTATATTTGAGCATACCCTGTGTAAATACCAGCGCTGTGTCGAATTGTAGCACTTCTGTTGCATTGCGCTCAGTCTCACACATTATATATTATGTAGGGTACAATAGAAGAGGCTTGTCTAGGCCCTTAGCAGAGGCAGAAGACATGATATGGGGAGATAAGGGGCAAGGAAATGAAAGGGCTGATGGGGCAGTGGTAAATGTGGGAAGCCAGATTACTTGATTTCCGGAGGCCCTGGGTTCAATCCCTGGGATGGGCACTTTAAAAAGGCAGTCATGTGATGTCAAAACTTGGTGGAAGAGGGCCATGTCTGGCAGGTACGATTAATGATGAAGTGAGATGATCACATTGGACTTCATGCCCACTGATACTATACACATAGCAGCCTGGGACACTACTTCAAATGTAGTTTGATTGTGCTAATGGTTCAACTTGCACTAGCAATTGCATGTTTTCACTGGAAAATTTGTGTCATATCTGATGACCATGACCATTCAATAGAGCTCAGGATTCTAAATCTAAGGAAATATTATACTCTCTCAGATTATGCCAGCCAGTACTTATTTTGCACTTTTACTGGATTATATCTCTCAGATCTGAGCCAATGTAGGACATGTTAGACATCAAAAGAAAGCCATTACATGCCTCTATCACATGGTGCTGCTTATGTGTCTTCACATGTGTCTTTGAGTGTACAGTTGTTATTATTGATCCAGATGATACAAGTATTTCGCATTTTTCGACATCTTAAACATCATCGATTCCCACGCTCTTTGTTGCATTTTGTTTGTATCATAAATGGGCACAAATCGCGATTGGTTTGAAGCCATTTAGTGAAAAACTGAGTGAGCAGTAAGCTGGACAAGATGTGCCACCAGATCACTTTACCAGTACTTATCCAAAGGGGACTAGTGTTTCGCACTTTACGACCTCTCAAACCTCATGGATTCCCACGCTTGTTGCTGCACTTTATTTGCATTCAAAATGCACACAAATTGCGATTTATTTGAGGCCATTTGGTCAAGAACTAAATGAGCAGTGAGCTGGACAAGATGTGCCACTAGATCACTTTATCAGTATTCACCCAGATGGTACTTGGTGGAAGAGGGCCATGACTGGCAGGTACAATTGATGAGGAAATGGGATAATTGCATCTGACTTGATGCCCACTGATACTATGCATATAGAAGACATTACACAACCAAAAGCAGCAACCACACTTCAAATGCAGTTGAATTGTGCCAAGGATACAACATATCACTGGAAATCGCATTTTTTTCATCTCTGAAATTTTGTCTCATGCTTAGAAAGCATTATCATTGAGTAGAGCCCCAGGATTATGAATCCAATGAGATACTATACACTGGAGGTGGCACAAAAGATCTACCTGTGGCACTTTGCCCATTGCCAGCCAGTGCTTAATGGACAGGTTTACTGGATTACATCCCTTAGATCCAAGCAAATCTAGGACAGGTCATGCATCCCCACAAAGCCCTCATATGCCTCTATTCGATGGTGCTGGTTATGTGTCTTCATATGTACTTTTGAGTGCATAATTACCAGTACTTTATCCAGAGGGGACCAGTATTTCGCATTTTACGACCTCTCAAACCTCATGGATTCCCACGCTTGTTGTTGCACTTTATTTGTATTCAAAATGCGTACAAATTGCGATTGGTTTGAAGCCATTTGGTGAAAAACTGAGTGAGCAGTGAGCTGAATGAGATGTGCCACCAGATTACTTTATCAGTATTCATCCAAAGGGGACCGGTATTTCGCATTTTACGACCTCTTAAACCTCATACATTCCCACGCTCTTTGTTGGGTTTTGTTTACATTCAAAATGCGCACAAATCGCGATTTGTTTGAAGCCATTTGGCCAAGAACTGGGTGAGTAGTGAGCTGGACAAGATGTGCCAGCAGAGCACTGCTGAGCCAGCCAGCTGCCATTTCCGGAGGGGGCAGATAAGCAAAAAAGCGCCCAGATGGCCGGGACATATCTTATCAGGGGCAGGAGACATGATATGGGGAGATAAGGGGCCAGTGAATCAAGGGCCTGATGGGGCAGTGGTAAATGTGGGAGACCAGATTGTTTGAATCCCAGAGGCCCCAGGTTCAATCCCTGGGATGGGCAGTTTAAAAAGGGAGTCATGTGATGGTAAAAAAAGCGCTGGCTGGCACGATAGCTCGGGTAAGTGAATCGTGCCAGCCAGCGCTTAATTTGCACCATATGGCGCTTATTTTGCACTTTGGGGTGCACTGTTATTGAATTATCTCTGTCAGGTTTTGTGCAAAGTGGGTCATGTAATATGCCGTTTGAAAGCTATCTCCGTCCCCTATCCGCTGGTGGTATTTTCATGGCAATGCGATCATTTATGAAGCATCTATTTGAGTATTTCTCTCAGGAAGACCAGTGTTTCGCACTTTACTACCTCTTCTTCTGGTTTCAATTCTGCGCGTTTGGGTGCGTTGTGTTCGTATTTACGACGCGCACAGATCGCGATTTGTTTGATACGATTCGGTGAAGAACTGGGTGCGCAGTGAGCAGAACACTGCTGAGGCAGCCACTTCAACACTCTTACTGGATTATCTCTCTCGCTATTTCACCAATGTGATGCATGTAATATACCGTTCAAAAGCTGCGGATTATGCCTATCCGCTGGTACAACTTCCATGTCTCTACCCTCAATATTGAATGAGCTACACATTCAACAACTCCCTTATATCTGAGCTTTGTGATATAAACAGGAATACCGGTCTAATAACCTCTGGGAACAATACCACGATATCACACATGAATTCAGCTTCAGAATACCGTTCTAACGAGGTATCAAACTCACCATTTGGATAGAAACTGCTCAAGTTATGAGCAAAAGAAGTTTCAGCTATCACAGGTTTATACTCAGTAAATCCGGATTCTTGCCCTCATTTTCTTACTAATGTATTGATATCAACACTCCAATAGATGCACATTCTTAATACTGTTACTCATAAAATTTTTTGTATCAGTTGGCCCACTAACAAACTCAAGAACCCGGAATTACTGACATTTAGACCCCAGTACAGCCTTGAAATCATGTGATCCTAAGCCAGGCATGTGCACCGCTCCAGAGGGTCAAATAAGCGCCCATGATGCGCCATCATAACTGGTAAGTAGTGGCAGGCCATGAGTAAGTAATGGTTGAAGGGCTAACCCTAAAATTTGTAGTGGAAACTGCCCCTAACCCCAGCCTGGGTGTTGATGGGTAAGAAAGGTTGTATATGGCGCTTATTTTTAGACTTACGTGGGTAAGCTGAGTTTGAAGTGAAGATTCCCATGGGCTCAATTGGCGTAACGCAACCTGGCGCAGAGGTCGTCCCATAAGAAACAATTTCTTCGTTCCTCATCAATCGTGATTCTATGATCTGTTCTGGGTATGTATAGCTCTTTGAGTGCTTAGATATACTCCCATATGCCATGGGTTGATAGTTATAAATGGTGATATGTTGAGCAGTATCATTCTATAGTGTTGTGTGATCTATGATCCAAAGTAGCCCATTAGAAGTTCAAAGAAGCACCCATGAGACTCATTCACAACTAGTAATCTGAAGTAGCTGCATAGAACTTAGCATGTAATCTAATCACATCAGGGCTGCCATTAGCAAACGGTCAGCGGTAATAAGCAAGTGAGACTATATAAGGTTGAAAATGCCCCGCCTTCCGCGAAAAAGGGGCCCAACCGGGATTCGAACCCGGGATCCCTTGCAGTCGGTGCGAAGCTCCCAAAGCAAGTATCTTACCTCTAGACCATTGGGCCGTTGTTATACTGATCTCAATCCATGTAACATGGCCACATCGGATGCGTCCAGCCACTCCTACGTCATCTGTGGCGGCCTGGCGTCCTCGTCCTCGTCCTCGTCCACGCACCGCTCGCGAGTCTGGCCGAGCGCGTCCTCGCTCCTCTTTCTGCTGCGACGACCACCGCTGCCGTCTCCGTCACGGTATATAACGTGCCCTCATCCCACCCCGCACCCGCCCCAAGCCAACCCGCCATGTCCTCGTCGCCCGTCTTCCCACCTTCCGCTCACCTCTCCTCTTCCCCCTCGCCGCTCGACCTCAGACACATCCAATCCCAGCCACCGACCCACCCTCCAATGGCTCCCACCGCTCCCTCTCCCACCAACCGTACCGGCCCTGCCCAGAGAATTCGTGGCGGATGCATCCCTTGCCCGGTCAGTGCTCTCTTTCCTCGTCCGCACTCAGCGACGGCCTTATTCCCGACTTCCATCCTTTAGGACGGCAGCATCTGCTACATCATCCCCATCCCCTGCTTCTGTTGCTAAGCCCAACACAGCGGCCCTACCGTATAACCCCTTCCAACGTCCCTTGAGTCCCCGACAACATCAGTCAGGACGTGTGACCTTCGTTCTCAACATGCGATCGTTCGTACACTCCGCAACGCGTACCGTACCTCTCCACATCCCCGTTTGATCGTAATATACGCATCGCTACAACCGCGCCTAAGGTACCATACGTTATGTATCTGTAAGATTGGGCTTTCCGTGTAATGTCTATATCGTCTGCATGACCCCCCGAGCGCCGCCCAACTCCGCCGTGTGCACGTTGCCCCCGATCGGCCACCACCGGATGCCTGCGGCTGCATCCCGCCCTCGTCTTCGTTCCAATCCGTGCTCCTTGACCTCGTCTCTGTAGGATATTCGTCTTTGTCTCGTTCCACGACCATACACAGTCAGCATGGACAAATTTGCGACTCTCGAACCTGTTCGCCTGTACAACGCACCTTCTCCTCCCTCCTCCAACCGCTTCTCCTTCCACAAGCCCAGCGTACCTACGTTCCCCCGACACTCCAGAAATGGCCCCGCGCCCTTCCAAGTTATTGGCCGTCTCCCGGTCGACGTACACATCGTCATCCTGACCTTCCTTGCCATCCCCGACATTCCCGCCTACGCCCGTTGCTCTCGCGCCCTCGGCAACCTCGCCCGCGACGAACGCGTCTGGGAGGCCCGCTGGAAGGCCTTTGGGTTGGAGCGACACAAGCTCAGCGGCGTCCTCGACGCGCTTGAGGAGAAAGTCCGGGTGCAAAATGGGGTCGACCGCGGGCACGCCCCGCCCACGCTTGCGACGGAGAGTCTGGACGACGACTTCGGCGACTTCGCGTCCGTGAATGCTCCGGCGGAGGAGATGGGCGACTTCGTGGGTGGGTTCAGCCTTTCGACGCCACGTACACTGGCGTTCTTCGACGGGGGGCAGTCCAAGACGTGTCGCTCGCTTTACATACGAGCACATACCCTCCTCAAGCCACTCATACCCGCTCTTTCTGCCCCTCCACACGCTGTTCTGTCCAGCCTTTTCCCTTCTCCACCACCCGCCCTCCGAAGTCAGGCACATACTCTTCGCCTACTCTCGCGTTTCTTGTCTCCAGACGTCAAGCCATTGCGCAAATGGGAAACGCTCAGCTCCGCGCTCCGGGCCGCAGTAGATCGTTTCGAGGACGGCTTGCTCACGGCGTTCGACGTGGCCGATGGCAAGGGCGATGAACAGGGCATGCGCGAGGCAGCGGAGGCGAGCTGGGAGGTTTGGGATGGTCCCGGAGCGGAATGGGAGCTGGGCAAGGTTTGGGCGGAGAAGCTCGAAATATTCTACGAGCAAAGTAAGTGGAAGCCACTCGACAACTTCACGTGCGTGCTGTTATTTCCATCTCTTCCTCCCTTTCTGAGCTATGGACTAGCAAAGATGCCGAACTGGACTTCACGGCGATGGATGAATTCATCGCCGAGATACTGGCCGCCCTGGAAGAGCACGGCTCGCGAGCCGTTCGCGTCTTCCCTCCCAACGCGAACGTCCTCGTCTCTTTCGCGGAACGGTTAGCAAACGAAGTAGTACGTGTTTGACCGCTACTGCCGTCCCCCCCGTTCCCCCATAACGCCTCTGACGTCATTCAGGTAGGGGAATACACCACTTCTTTGCTCACTCGCGCGCGCGAGATCTCCAACGAGGTATTTCTTAAAGCGACGGCCGCTAGCTTCAAAGAAGCCTGGAGGATGGTAGACACGATCGTACAGGTCGCGGTCACTAAGGATCCCGACTTTCCTAGAACGAAGGCTGAAGATGTCGTGTAAGTCCCACCTCCCACATGAGAGCCCACTCGGCGTTAAATCACGATAGGTATCACATGTTTGAGCCGAACATGGACGAATACCTAGACGAAGAGGTTGAATTCGTGAAACAAAGCTTTGAGATGACCTGCCGCTCGTGGGAGAAACAGGTAGGCCAGACATCGCATTCCACGTCGCTCAGCGTGTCATATTGACGGTTCGAAAGCTCTCTCAACACAAGCTCCCCGCAAATGCCTCCCCGAACACGGAAACGGCCCGCTTTCTGGGCTCGCACAACCCCGCTCAGGTCAAACGGACCGTCCTTGCGTCTTTTACCGACGTGCTCCTACTCCCCGTAACCATCGTCCCACGCACGGTCGGCAAGGCGGTCGGCGCGGCCATTACGACCGGGAGCAGCGCCGCCGTCCAGGGCATCGCGATGCTCAACCCCCAGCGTTGGGGCGGCACGGGCGCGACGGGCCAGGGCGCGTTCCCGTTCGCACGCATGTCATCGTGGAACGCGAACGGCAAGGACGGGTATGTGCGGGACTTTGAGAAGGGTGGAGATGGCATGCTTTTTGACATTGGCGCAGACGAGGACGATGAACCGGCGCCCGTCAAGGAGAAACGCGAAAGCGTCGCAACCACCCGGTGTAGGCGTATCGTGCACTCAGCACTTCTCATCAGTATTGACGTCACCCCTTCCAGCCTCGTTGACGGTTTCGACCACCGATGGGTCACTCAGTACGGCGCCCACCTCACTAGAGTCTACCAGGGTGTCCACTCCGAATCCCAACCCTCCCGCGTTGGACAATCTCGACCTTCTGCTCTCGCTCGACATAGCTCTTGAGCTTATCCACGCTGACCGCGAGTCTATGAAACGAGCGGAGACCTTCTCCGGCTATCCAGGCACCTACGGGCATCGCGTGCGCGATACGATCGAGGAGATTTTCGTCTTGCTTCTGCAGGCATTGGGCGAACGCCACATCAAACCCGGGTTCGAAACGTAAGTCACCCACTCTGAGCGCTTCAGCGTGAGTATGCTTGAACTAGTTCATAGAGCTATCCAACAAATGAAGACCTACCAACCGGCCGAACATGAAGAAACAAAGAGCGTCGCGCCGCTTCTCCAGTTTTTTGAACTAGTGCACATCGGCGACACTATGCAGTCTATGATACAAGTTTATTTTGACAAAGAGCTTGTGAGTGCATATGCCTTGCCCTCGTGGCTGTTCATTGACCCAGGCGACCGGGCTGCAGGCGCCTCACATCGACCGCCACGACTTTTTGAACACGGTCGTCCGGGAGAAGAAGCACTTCGAAGACTCCCTGGACGACTCGGTTGCAGGAGGATTGAACGCGGCGACGGACGCACTGATGAACCAGGTGAGAATACATTTGATACTGTCACGTAATAGCTTCTGACGTCCATGCTCAGGTGGAACACATCATTACGAAACTAACGAAGCCGCGCGAGTACTATCCCCCTGAAGACAGTCCACTCGAACTAGGGCCCACGGAAGGTTGCAAAGAAGCCATCAAGTGCTTGCAGATGCACTGCCAGCTCCTGAAGGGAAGTACGAGCAAAGAGGTGCTTGAAGTGTTCTACCAGGAGGTAGGAATCCGTCTCATAGCGTAGGTATGTTTTGTCTGACTGTTGAGCCTTGCTAACGCTGGCCCGGGTTGGTAGTATCCTACAAAAGCATATCAAACGGCAGATAATCTCCCTGAGCGGCGGGTTTCAAGTAATCGCGGACTTGAACGCATACCACGCGTTTATAACGTCCCTCCGAGTAGCGAGCATTATCTCCGAGTTCGCCTACCTCAAAATGCTCGGGCACGTCTACGTGGTGGAAGATGCAAAGGATCTCGCGCAAATTGTGCGAGACGTGACGCGATACGGCGGAGCATATCGACCGGAGGTGCATGCACTGCTCCAATATTGTCGTATCCCGCTGACGATTTGACAGGATATTTACGAGTTCATCCAGCGCCGATCTGACTGGAAGAAGATTGAGAAGACGGTGGACAAGACGATGTACAACCTGAGTTTCAAGGAGGACTGCGTCGTTTGCTAGCGGCGGCTGTCTCGCTGCCTTATCCGGCCCGTCCGGGCTGTCCTCTCTGGGCGGGTGCGTGACGTCACGCTGCTCCGGCGCAGCGAACAGCACGGGCGCCACCGCGTCTCGGGGCTCAAAACCGTCTCCGATCGTCCTCGTCGCCATCGCCTTTGCTCTCCTGCCCCCACCACCTCTTCCTGTCTCTCTCCGCCTCCCGTCGTCGCCCCAATCCCCGCGCCATCGTCGCCCCATCCACACCATCTACCATGTCGATCTCCGAGTTCTCGTTGCGCCTCCAGCACGGTACGCGCCTTGCATTGTTGGTATCGGCCTCGATAATGCGTTCACTTACCCGCCCGCCATCCCATAGGCATAACAGGCGGCTTCGCGCCCCCAACGCCCGAGGCCATCATCACTATCACCGGGATCCCGACGCAGAACCTGCTCAACATCTCGAGCGCCGTCCGCCCCAAGGGCACGCCTTCCCTCCAGGACGCTGCACCCAAGTCCATCTCCGCCACGGACGCGCACACCATCGAGCTTGTCAACGAGCTTAAGGATATTCTTAAGTCCATTCCCACCGAGTCGCCCCCCGGCATCGAGGATATCTACGGGCTCGACACAAGCATCGCGTTTGGTTC